TGAGAAATATAATTGAGAATATGTTTGAATATGGCTTATAAAATTAGAAATGGACAAACCTGAATATACTAACTGATTTGATAATACTCTAGCACAGGGGCTAGAAATTAAGTTCACAAACCAAATCCAGCCTGCCCTTCAAAGCTGTTCTTCAATGGCTAGAAAAAAATATTTTGTAACACATTAAAACTCTGTAGAGTTTGACTTTCATTGTCCACAAATTTTTATTGGAATTTGGACACATTCATTGATTTATGTATTATCTATGATTGTTTTCACACCACAGTGGTAGAGTTGAGACTCATGTGATACTCTCAGCATTCTGCACTGCTGCTTGGTACACTAAAAATTATACTATCAGTATATTGAATACCACAAATTGTGTACACACACACACACGTACATACCCAAACCTTCCATTATATTAAAGCAGTATCCTGAAACAAATTAGTTTTGAAAGTAAGGTAATGAGATGCTGAAATTTGTTTACACACACACACACACACACACACATATCCTTTATTAACAATGTCTACCTATAATGTCAAAACAAAAGTAAACTTCAAGTGATAATACATTTAAGGCATAATAGAATGAAGATTATTTTGTTATAAAATTTGATGGCAATGCATGGTATTTAACATGCAATGATGAAATAGTTGCTCTCAAAGAATGTGTTAAAATTACCAAGCTAAACACTCATTACAAAATCTTTAATTTATAGGAATGTAGTGGTCAGAAAAATTAGAAAATTTAAAACAAGATAACTCACCACAGCAGAATTAATTTATGAAAATCAAGCTGTCAAAGTAAAGGACTGAATTGGTATAAAGAAAGGAAAGCCTTTTACTGATTTCAATCTTTTTACTGCATCAGCTGAAGAAAAGTAACATGCTCATGACTATTAGACTTTTGGCAAGAACAGCTGAAGAACTGAGAACTCTAGGAACCACATCAACAGTCAACAGAAGAAAAAATAATAAAACAAATGACCATGAGTGGTCTTCCTTGGCTCCTGATGAGTCAACACATGTGACTGATACTGCCTAGTTATTGTTTATTTGATGAATCAATGACAAGGATAAAGGGAGTGAAGAGTTGGTCTCTATGAATTGTCTGTGCAAAACAATTACAGACAAGAATATTTTCTAAGAAAACATAAACTACATACAACCTGATGTAGAATCTGCTAAGATATGTCACAACTGGTAGCAGTAAAAATATGTGTGGTCCAAAACAAGATTTAGCGGGTTAAACTTACAAAGCAAAACCTTTAAAAATGTAAGGTGTTTAAAACCTGTGGTTACTTACTATATTATTCACTAATAGGTATTTTGTGAAATATATTGTACTCTATCTTGTATTACTGAACTAATAGTGTTAACAGAGAACATCATTTACTCTCACAGACTTATACATCAACAGTTCTTTTATCTTTCATCAGATATAGAAACAGAATATCCTTGCTTTGCTTTCCCACATAGTAGTTTATGGCTTAATGGTCATATGAGATTTATGATGAGTTTCTGAGCTTAGGGCTGATATTAAAAATTTTTTCTGTACAAGAAGAAATGCCCTCAATCATGATTGTAGGATTAAATCTCACAGTAAATTGTTTTGGAATTTGGATTTTGCTGCTGATTTGATGGTGTTTTGTAATGAATTCAACCAAATATTACAAAGCAAAACCAGTGTTTATTTTATTTGTTTGTTTATGTTTGTTTAGTTATTTACTTATTTGGTACTGAGGATTGAACTCAGGGGCACTCAACAACTGAGCCACATTCCCAGCCCTATTTTGTGTTTTATTTAGAGACAGGGTCTCACTGAGTTGCTTAGTGCCTTGCTTTTGCTGGTGCTGACTTTGAACTCGAGATCCTCTTGTCTCAGCCTCCTGAGCCACTGGGATTACAGGCATGACACTGTGTCAAAAACCAGTGTTTAAATGTGAAATACCTTTATATTATTTTGATGACAATTAACATTTTAATCACAAGTAAGATCCAGCTGCTTTATATACTTCCTGTACTATCAAAAGGCAAACAAGTAGCAAGATCTCCACTACACAAATTTGTAATTCAGTCTAGGAGTGTTTTGGGGGCCTTGATGCAAGCCATGCAAATGAAACCTCCATTTCCCCAAATCTATTTAACTGTGCCAAAGAGGAGTTTCCACTTAATCTTCAATTGGAAGTGATTAATCTACAATGTAATAACATGCTAAAAGAAAAATATCAAGAGAAATAAAAAATAACCTAATTCTATCAATGCCTTCCTTCCAAGTGATAGATATGACCAACAAAAATAATATTCTCATGGATTAATTTAAGTATTTGATAATACCTACTTTTAAGAAAAGATGAAATATGCAAAATCTTTCAAATTAGCATTAGCAGATGAATACCTACGATAAAAATTTTTTTTCACTGTTAGGACTGAACCTACAGCTTCATACATACACCACTGATCTACATCACAGTCCCTATCATTTTTTTTTAAAAAGATTTTTTTTTTTTTTAGTTGTAGATGGGCACAATACCTTTATTTTATTTATGTGGTTCTGAGGATCGAACCCAGTGCCTCACGCATGGGAGAAAAACATTCTACTACTGAACCACAACCCCAGCTTGCCAGTCCCTATCATTTTGATGATAGAACATACTAACTTTGAACTACAGTTAAGAGAAAGGATACTACCAAAGTCATTTAATTCTTCTCATTGGTAGAGTCATATTTTAAAAACAGAAAAAAAATTCTCAATTATTATGTCTTGAATTCATCAAAAATTTTGTAGAAATCTGTTTTCTCTCCATTTACTTACTTTCCACAATAATCTCAATTTTTCCTCTTGGCCACAGTCCCATATTTACTATCTGGTCCTTTACAGAAAAATGATTCTCAACCTTTATTCTAGAACCAGATGCCACCCTAGATGCTTAAAAGTACAGGTTAAATGCAATGCCTCTAAATCCAAATGACCTGGTTTTGCATGCTGGCTCTGTCACCCACAGCTATATGATCATTAGGAAAGTCCTTTGCTTCAATTTCCTCATCTGTAAATAGGACTAAGTAATGGAATCTATTTTGTAAAGTTGCTGTGAGGATTAAGTGAATTAGTAAATGCACAGCACTGGAATCAGTACCTGGTACAAAGAATTTAACTACTATGAGCTTCCAGCTTAAGATAATGGTAGACTTCAGTCAGTTGATAATCAAATTATACATCTCCTCACCTTTTTGAATAAGACATTTGAAATGTTTACATACATTAAAGACTGAAAAGAAAATTGTAGTGTACAAAGATAAAGGATAACCAAGCCCTTTTCCCAACTGCTCCCAACCTCTTCCCTCAAACAGAAGTCTGAGTGGGCATACTATTGGTATGATCAGGATGGCAATTCTCATATATATACATATATATACTTTTTTTTAATATAGAAGAGATTGTATAATTTTGGGGGGGGGGTACCAGGGATTGAACCCAGGAGCACTTAACTATCAAGACACATCCTCAGCCCTTTTAAAAAACATTTTATTAGAGACAGAGTCTCACCAAGTTGCTTAGGACATCACTAAGTTACTGAGGCTGGGTTTGAACTTGCTATCCTCCTGCCTCAGCCTCCCAAGTCGCTGAGATTACAGGCATAGGGCACCATGCCAAGCTTGTATTAATGTTTTAATATTTTAAATTTCATATTATACTCTTTATAGTTTACAAAAGATTAAATAGTACTATTAAATTTTAAAATTTACAGTTTAAAACTGACATTTTAGAAGTCAATAGCATATACAAATAACATTCTTATTTATTTATTTACATTCAGTAAATATATATTGAATGTCTACTATTTGCCAAATTTACTAGCTTAAGAACTTTGAGGGAAAAAGTGTTTCAATATATGTACTATTGACAGAACCCTCAAAATTTGCTTAAAGATATATATTAAGAGCTAATGTGCTTTTTTCTTAAATGAATAGCTCTTATAACAAGAAACTTAAGAGTACTCCTGTCCCCACCCCACCCCCCAAAGTTTCTGCAATGATAAAAATGTTCTATATCTGTGTGTCCAAAATGATAACTAGTAGGTAGCCTTATGTGACTAGTGAACATGTGCAAATGAGAAAATGTATTTTAGATTTAACTAAAGTTAAAAATTGGACAGCATATTCTATAGGATCACTGTAGAACATTTTTGCCTTTAGTGGCAAATAATGTTTGTTACACTACACAGTTTTAGTTTGTTATTCAAAACAGCCTTACCTTTCCATGCCACAAAATATTTTCTGTCTACTTTCTTAATAACAAAATTAAATCAATTCACTATTTAATAAATAATATTTGCTTTTTTTGTTGTTTTGACCTTTCTCTCTTGCCACCCCTTAACTGTAGCTGAATTCTAATCATTAAAGTTATTATTGCACAGGAAAAAATTTTAAAACCCACATATATGATTTTTAAATGTAATTAAAATCTACATGTAATTCAAAAGCCTTAAACCTTTTCCTCTGGCAAATTTTCATGGCATCTGTTTAACAGAAAGTTATTTCAATTAGTAGTTTACCTCTTATTCTTCCTTATGCCTAGATTTTTTTTTTTTTTTAGTTGTAGTTGACATAATACCTTTATTTATTTACATGTGGTGCTGAGGATCGAACCTAGGGTGTTGCACATATGAAGCGAGCACTCTACTGCTGAGCCACAACTCCAGCCCCAATGCCTAGATTTTTATATTGGCAACATCTAGTAATGAAACAGATAAATATTAGAAGTGAAAAAAAACTTATTTTCCTGTTGAACAGTTTAAAAAAAACTTAGATGGAAAAACATGTCTCTTTCCCCAACTAGCTCTGACAATTTTGAATATACCAGACAAAATATATGCTGAGTCATAAAGCTTTAATGAGGCATCCTTACATGAAGTGTGAAAAAAACTTTATTTTTGCATAAATATCATGATACTTTAATGCTTAAAGTGTCCCTTTAAAAATAAGTTAAAAATGTTTTCATATTATTCTTTTATTAACACAATTATTGATTAAAACATAATTCCACTTTAACACAAAGTAAAAATAATATCAGTGACTAACATATTCTTGATGAAAATGGCTTACAGTATTTTGTGAGAACATTTCTTCACATTTTTTACTTGATTCAATGGGAAATTTCATATTTTTCTTTAAAATCCACAAATGTCTTAATTCTCACCATTATAAAAACAAAAGATACAACCAAACCACCCCCAAATAAAATCCTTACAAAGCATATCAACTTTTAGTGACATAATATATATTAAGTCACTGAGTAAAGCTCTTTTTTATGAACACTTTTGGAAAGGCTGCATTCAGTTCTAATACAGCTCTGTTATCAATCTGTGAACAGAAGGATACATCAAGTAAGGAAAGATCTTTACAAGATTCCAGGAGTTTTCTTAAGGATGCTGGACTTACCATTCTTGTTCCTGTTTGAAAAAACAAAATCAAACAAAATAACTTAAATATAATATTATAAATGTCCTATTTTTAGTCCCTTTTTATTTAAAATATACTTAAAATAAATGTCCTTTTAAAAATTAAAAGCATTTTTAAAATAAAAGTCTTCATATTGAAATAGTTCTACTAAAAAAACCAATAACAACAACAACAACAAAAAAAAATCATTGAGTTTTCCTAGGCAATGTGGCATCCAGGATCTGAATATTGTCAGTCATCTACCTGCCATTTATATTTCTACTTCTGACCCCTTCTAATCAGTTCATCTAGACTTTCCTACTTCTATCACTCTAGTGTAAAATGTTTTTCACATCTCATTTTCCTTAGCCCACAGGTCAAATTAGGCAGCAATGTCTATAATAATTCAACCTCTAATTCCATGCAATGTAATTACTGAGCAACTACTCTGTTAAGTATTGAGTATCAGTTTTAGGGACTGGAAATGCAAAGATGAATAAGACTCATGTCTGCCTCAGGAACTCACTGACCAGCATTGAAAACAAATACATATAACAAAATTTGATAAGTTTTACAGTGAATGGTAGGTGATGGGTGATGAGTTATTTTAGTCCATGTTAAAACTGAAGCAATCATGGGATATTTAGTTAGATGCTAAATTAATTATGTAAAGCATCTGATACATGGTAGGCACTTAATAAATACCAAATATCACTTGATTCTAAGAGATGATCTGTTGTAAAACATACCTTGCTTTAACTCTCTCTTTTCTGGGGAGAAACAATCACAATCATCATATATATACATCTAGTAGGAAGGGCATTAGGATTTCTGAAATGTTAACTTAAGCCTCGTTCTCTGGTAACTCTTTTCTATTCCCCTCCCTGTTGTGGGCTCCAGAGCTAAATTCTATTGTCACCATCTGTGACTGGTCCCAAGGTAAATCAATCCAGATTCCCCCTGGGAATTTAGAATTGGGATTGGGCAAAGCCTTCAATGTCCACAAATTACTATTTCTATAGACAGGTAACAGTGGGCTGCACCTGTTATATTTGGCCATGTACACCCAGAGAAGCATAGGTGACTATGAGGATCAGAAAAAACAAGAAAAGTCAAGGGAAAAGCACACATAAAAGTCTGTGAATACAAAGTTGCAGAGGGTGGGGTAGGAGACAGAACTAAAGCATACAGGACAGGAAAAGTAAGAAGGGAGGAAGGGAGGGAGAGGGAGGAGGAATGAATGAAGAAGAGAGATCTCATGGGATCTAAGCGATAAAACTATATCTTTATAATAATTTTCTTTTCTTTATGCTTAAGTTATTCTAAGTGGGCTTCTGGTTTTCTGTTTTGTGACAACTTCAACCCTAGACACTTAGTTGTTCGTTTTCTTAAACTCAGGATTGTGATTGTTATTTGCTTGTCTTGCCCAATAGAACCTGAGTTTCCTGATGAACAACGAGTTCTGTAAAGCCTTAAAGAATTCTGTGAAGGAACTCAACTTTAAAATTTAAATTTTAAATATGCTTCCGAAGTAGCTTGTATTTTTGTATTTGTTGGTTAATTCCCAATACCATCACTTTGGTTTGGACCCTCATTACATGGATTACTGCAACAAATTTCTCTGATTTTAATCTCTTCCTTTTCCAATCAACTTGCTATGCATTCCCAGGTAAAACGTGGCCATGAATATGTCATTCATTCTCCTAACTAAAAAAATCCCATAATAGCTATTCCTCACTTAATTTTGTGCAGATTTTTTCATCCCAGTGTTCAAAATTCTCCATTAAAGCTTTCATTGTAATAACAAAATAGATATATACAATTAAATTCGATGATTTGTTCTCTAAAGGTAGTCTGAAAATCAACTGCTATATTTTGCTTCATGCTGTTCTTTGTGCTTACAATGTCATCCCTTCCCATTTCCTCATCACTTTTCAAGGATGTCTTTAAAATATCTACTAACCTTTTAAATAAAGGTTAATTATAATAATAAACTTCCTTTATTCTGTAATCATATATGCTATCTTTTTCTGAGCCCCATTAAAATGGACTTGCCTCTGGCTTGTATTATGATTGTTTTTCTCCTTCTTACTAGCTATAATCTCTTTTTTTAAAGATGGACACAATATCTTTTTACTTTATTTATTTATTTTTATGTGGTGCTGAGGATTGAACCCAGTGCCTCACATGTGTGAGGCAAGCACTCTACCGTTGAGCCACAGCCACAGCCCCTAGTTATAATCTCTTTAAAGGAAGGAATATACTACTCACTCAGCTTTGTACTGATGAGAAGCATTTTCACTGTGAAGCAGGTATGCCACTTAACACTTCTATCGAGCAATGACAAAATAATGACTATTGCCTTGATTGAACTGAGAATCCTTATTTTCAAAAAAGCCTTATAACACTTAAAAATGAAAGAAAATCAAACAACAACAGAAGTAAAGAAAATGCAACACAGTGGTTAGAACAGATTCTCCCAAAGAGAGTCATTATACTTATTTTTCTTTTACATCTCTATAAAACTATTCATACATTTGCAGTCAAATGTTCTACCACTGAGTTATACTCCCTCAACCACACAATTAACAGGCCAAATTTAGATCACCTGACAACCAACCCCACTGCTCATCACAATTGAGCATTGCTTAGAATCAGTGTTCCTGACACTTTCATAGTTCTGTAGTATCTACTCCAGACATTGGCTATTGTGCAAGTCAGTATATGATGGTTTTTTGCTTGTTTGTTTGTTTTTGAGGAAGGAGTTATAAAAAATAGATTTTAACCAGCAACAGCACTATCTTCTGAAGTGAAACTCATGTTCTTGTGAATTCACAGCTTTTTCTTGAACTTTTTGAAATATTTATCTTACAAAAGGCTTAGGACAATTCAATAGGAAAGATAGGTAGGATGGAAAAGAAATAACCATAGAGTAGTTATGGTGTGACCAAAAAAAAGAAAAAAAAAGTACTGACTATGGAACCAAAGACATTAGATTTGAACCTTTTCTCTGCCATTTATTAACCACTGGGTGCCAGTACCCTCACCTATGAAAACAGAGCTGTGAAGATCAAATAAAATATCACACAGATGAAGTATTTAATCCGAAGTGTGCACATGAGAGGCCTAAAAGTAGTTTGAATAAGTAATGTGCAACAACATAAGCAGCATCACAAATGTATCATAAACCTGAATGTGGAGAGATTTTAACTGAAACTATAAACATAGATGTTGAGAATCTTCAGGTTTTCCTTTTGTTGAATGTTTAATAAAGAGGAAGGGATACACATGTACTTTATGGACTAATCAATTGTAAATTAGTAGTAACAGACTGCCAGAAAACAGTTCAAGTGCTATGTGAGATCACAAATTACCAGTTGTGTGGGCAATGACAACTACAGTGGCACCACTAGCACCTTTGAATAAGATAAGAAGTAAGTAATGACATCTCAAAGGGCTCCTTGCTGATGAATGCAATAAGGACACAAGGAATCCCAGAACTGGAAAGAATTTTCAAGAGATCTGCCTCAGGGTAGAACTATTTCTAAAAACTGAAATTAGCAGGGAGGGAGACATCATAACATTCCTTTATTAACAGTTCAACATTAAGAAACTTTAAAAGAAAATCTAACTTGAATTCATTTTAAAATGGATTCATTTCTTCATTTCTCCTCAAGAAAAATGGAGAACACAGTTCACCTAAATTCTCTCTTCTAATTAGACCAAGAATTAATAGTTATTTAGAACTTGTGACATGTTCAACAATACAGTTGTAACTTACTTAAGTGTGTGTATACACACACACACACACACACACACACACACACACACACACATATATATATATATATATATATATATATATATATAATTATTCCTTATTTCTTATATTTTCTATCAAACCAAGCAGTCTTCTTGGGAAAAATTTTGTTACGTTTCTTTGTGGTTTCCTTGAAAAAAATATGATATTAGGTTTTATGTCAAGGAAACAGGCTTTCAAAAAAATTTATATATTGCATCCTTACCTAATATGTCCAGTTGCCGTAATCTGATACAATTACATGCAAGTTCTTCTATATCTGTGTCACACACAGATCTATTAGCTGTAAGAAATAGTTTTTGCAAGTTTGGGAGCTGGCGTGCCAATCTGGCGAAGCACCCGGTACTGCTCTGCAGAGTAGGACACCAGCCAAGGTCAAGTTCCTCCAGAAGTGGACATCCAGAAGCCAATTCCGCTATTCCATTCTCAGTAATATTCTTACATCTCCATAGATCCAGGGTGCAGAGCTTTTTACACTTGGCTCCTATCATGCTAGCTATCACATCATAGTCTTCAATCTGGAAATCAAACAATTCCAAGCTTTTATATGTTATGCTCAGAAATGCAAACTGTTTAGAGCTTGTTAGAATATTGTTAATCATCTCTTATTGTTTGCTTCCATGTAAATATACCCACATCCTTGTTAATATAGATTTACCCATTCATCTTACAGATCTGCCATGATTTCACAAAACAGCAAGAGTAATCACTTACTTAAAACTCCACTTAACAGAACTGACAGAGGACATTTATGAATTAAATCTGAAAGCAATCTCAAGTCTTCAATCTCTCATGGAGAATTGGAGGATTATGTGCTATTCTTTTATGCCTACCATTTTGACCTTGTTGCTGGTCACTAGGCCTAGTATCTTTTATTTTATATATATAAATATAGTTAGATAGGTATATAATATCTCTTTAATGAAGGTGGCACCTTGGCAGGTTCTAAAACTGTGTGGAAATTCTAATAGTACTCATTAGGATAGCAGCTCTGGGTTAAGTGAGGCTTTTACAGACTGAAAATACAACACAAAAATAATGATAACATTAATCATTGTCAGTTACTGAAGGTATCCAATACTTATGTCATCATTATAGGATAAGCAGCTATTAATTAAGGATTTAACATTTCAGATCTTGGGCTTTATATGCTTTAATAATGTTTCTTTAAGTATATTCTTTTAGGAGATTCATTTGATTTTGTTATGATCAGGTATCAAAGTTATTACGAGAAGACAAAAAGAAAACAAAATAGTGAAGATTTATAATGATTACTTCCTTATGTTCACTGGTTTATTCAATTTTCAATAAATATTTGTGCTACTATTATGTACTAGCACCACTCTAGAAACCAGGAACAAAAGTAAACAAAAAACATTTTTTGGTTCACATATTTTTGGAAAAACAGAGACAAATAAATGGGCAAAATTAATTCAGGCTGTCCAGAATAAAAACTATATTTCCCCAATTTTCAAACTACAAGTATTAAGTTCTGGATAATAGGAAAGAGTCCTCAAAAGGCATGCAATTTCTGGAAAGGGTCCATAAAGGAAGGTATTATGTCTTTTTCCATTCCTGCTGCTTGACCTGGAGATGTGATGGCTGGAGTTTCACCATAAACCAGGAGATCAAATGTATGACATAAAGAGACTGCAGAGCAGTGATCTAGAGGTCAGGACCTCTTGGGAGCCTAAGGAGTAGAGCATGGGTTGCTCACTTCCAGCACTTCATTATATGAAAGAGAAATAACTCTCTTGTTTAAACATAGTCATTTGGAGTTTTTCTATCATTGGCACTTGAACCTAATTGTAACCAATACATTTGCTTACAAACTTGGCTAAAAGATTTGGTAGAGAGAGAGAGAGAGAGCTGGAACTAATGGTTAAAGCAAACTTCTGAATACTTTTCAAGGGCTTTGTTATCTATTTGTTCATTGTTTTCCACTACCATGGATAATACAACTTTAAACTGAAGAGATAATCAGTTATTCCAATACAAATTTTAAAAAATTCTCTTTCCAAATGACAGAAAAAATTTAAAATTTCAGAATCCTATCAAAAATGTTTATGGCAGTGACTAAAATATCTAGATTTGTTATTGGTGAGATATTATTCTTCAGAAGTTCTGATCACTGCAAATCTGTCAAGCTGGCACTTGTAGCACAAAGATTAGTTTCAGAAAAAAAAAGTGGTACAATTAATTTGTATCTACACTATATTCAATACAGAAAAAGTATGTTATTAGGAAAATGATCAGGGAAGATAAATAATAAATCATAAGCATTGTGCAAAGTCAATACAGTGCTCTATCTGTAAGGATAACAGGTTCATAAATAACACAAATCTGTAAATTGCTACCATTTGGATAGTCAAAATAAAACATCCAGTAAAACATCCTGACTTTTGATCAACTTGATAAGAAAGAAACTGAGATAAGCATGGTATTAAACTATCAACCAAGGGCTATGCATGTCACTGTCCTGGTGAACCCTGGCCCTACTGTGAAATAAAAACAGTATTTCTATGACACTTATTGAAGCCCTAATCATGATGTTAACAGCAATATTAGCATTATTTCTGAACTCCTCTGTCAAGTACCTGATAGTTAACAAACAGATAACAATGGTAACAATCTTACTGGTAACTATATACTTCAATTTAAAAAATAGCCTATTTATCTAAAGTATAGTATATATTAATATATGTAACATAGGAAAACAGGTTCAATAGTCAAATAAGGTTAGAAAACACTGGGTTTAGTGATGGCAAGAGTTTCTTTGTTGCAAGTTAAAACTCTCAGGAGGAGGACTCAGTAATATCACTTCCTAATTTTGACTATAAATCTCCACTGTACCCTTACATACCTACCTTTTTATAACTGAATATCCTTCAGGACCAATTTTCCATAGACCAATTTAGAAAAATGCTAATTTGAAATACATGTAATTCTAACTATCTAACTATATATAATTCCAACTCTAAAAGTGTCTATGGCTAGAGGCTTGCTTTTCTAGGGAATATTGCTCCAGTTTAAGAGAATGTAAATAAGAAGCAGAATAAGCAACATCTAGTTAAACAGGGTTTTTTGTTGTTGTTGTTTGTTTGTAACCAATCTAACAAGAGAAGGCTAGTAATATTCAAAAATCCAAGTGGCTGGTTTGTTGTCACAGAAACTGCCATCAGCTATCAATGGGCTCATCTAGAAACCCACTACAGGGATCCAAAGAAAACTATGAAATGGCTTACAAAGGTAAGAATTTGACTTGCAGTAAGGAGAAACTTGTGGTTTCTCCTTACTGCAAGTCAAATTATTTCAAAAGACTAGGACAGACTGAGACAATGCTTGTAGTTTAATAAGAGCAAACTGCCAGGATTAAAGACCATTGGGATAAAGACCAATGGAGGTAAATATGTTACTATAAGAGACATCTGCCTAGCCTACATTACCAAATCCTGGGAGATCTCTGAAGCCATTGCTAAGCTCTAAAAGATGCTCAAATGAAATGTCTTTTAGGTCAGAGATGCTGCCTGTTGATTCCAAGTCTAGGGTGCCAGAATTTCTCTGGAACATTGCAACCGAACTGTTTATTCATGTCTTTCTGTTGAGTGGATACAAAACTGGACTGGTCTGGGGATCTCCTAAATATGCTCTGGATAGAGGTATTGAAAAAAGTGAAGAGAAATGAATTGCTCCACAGTAAGATTCATTTCTGGTGAGTATTTACACGCACATACACATACCCCAAGAATCAATTATCTTGTAAGTCTCAGTGTTATTTGTAAGCCACATAATTAAGTAGTTTAGATGAAAAAAAATTAATTTTTCTCACAACTTCTTATGGAGGTATGTGAAATCACAATTTTGAATCTTGAAGAATTTTAGAAATTATCTATCTAGTCTAAGAGTTCCTAGGATTCTGGATTTCACAGAGTAAAAATTTCAAAAACAACTGAGTTCTAATATAAGGTGTTGGTCTTTTTATTTTGCCAAGTAGGACAGTTAAAATAAATAAAAAACTCTATAGAAACAAAAAAGTCTATTATCATCAATATTTCTTGGAAATATTCCAAGAATTTACAAAAACTAAAATTAACTTTGTAAAAAATTATTAAACTATTAACACATGGATATGACTGATATCTTATCTTGTAAAGAAACCCAGAGAGGTAAATAGTTTGTTTGTGATAACAGCTAGCTTGGGCAGAACTGAACTTTTTCCACCCTCTGTACTTTTCTTACTCTTGTTGATAAATGTCTCTTGTTGATAAATGTTAGTGTTTCAAAGACATCCTCGCCAATTGAAGAAAAATGTTTGAAAGTGGGGTACAAAACAGTTAACCATAAGTCAGAAACTGTGGATAAATGTTGGGTGCAGTGGACCAGGAAATTCACTCATGGGAAGAAAAAGAAAAAGCAATTGAATATAAAGAATTTTCAAATACTTGCCATTACACAACTGCCCAAACTGAGGTGCTGAAGCTCTGAACAGAAGTTCAAAATGCTGAGCAGTGCTGTTTGCTGCCATCGGGGACCACATCAGAGGCAAATATGGAAAGTGAATGAAAGTGAAACAAAGAGAAGAGGTCAATTAGACATTAAAAGCTGTCACTGCTTTTCCTGAAATACAGCTCAAAATCTAAGTTACAGATTCCACAAATGCCATTTAATGAGTCCCCAGGTGCGCCCACCATTGATTGGCTTGGAGTCAAGGTAATCATTACTAGTCTCCATGTAAGTCATCACATTGTATATGGTTTTGCATGCTCCAAAGATACTGTATTCCCTGTAACCTCTCAGTTTATTTCCCAGAGGAAAGCAATTTGAAAGCCTGGTTATAAGACAAATTAAACCACCCCTCCCTCCAAAGACAGAATGAGAGACAGCGAGCGAGCATGCAGAGAGAGGGAGAGTGAGTGCGCACGTGCATGCACCACAGGGGCCTAGTGACACTCCTGAAAAACAGCAGCAGCTCTGACATTCACTGATCAGTTGCAGTCTGATGGAACTGCCAATAGAGTCACCCCAAATCAGGACTAAGCTGGTGACTTTAATGTCAAAGGATTCTCTTTGCTGACAAGGATACCAACAACCATTGAGCACCTGTCAGTAGCAACATGCTGACTGAAATGTACCTAACATGCACTTTCTAGTCATGTTCTTGCCATTTAAGCCCATCTAACTTGTCCAATGTAAACGGTCTCACCACTAAAGAAACCCAAAGATATGCTAGACTGCTACATAATCATACCAGTCTCAAATATTTTTAAAATCCTATTTTATAGCACACCTACAATGAAAATTTGTAAAAAGAAATAAATAAAGCAATGTAAAATATCCAAATTTCTAGCATTTCTTTTGTAAATTAAGGAGAAAACTATTCAGACTTACACAGCAAAATCACTTTTTAAACATCTGACCTAAATTATATCTAACAAAATTGAGCTCTTATACAAC